TAGCAGGTTGTAGATTTGCAAATATATATATTTTTCTCTTTATATTAGCTGTCTTTAAATAATTGAGCATTTGATTTGATGAAGCACGTAAATTTCTTCACCCCAAAATTTTACATTTTGGACTTCAGTTATACAAGTAAATGGGGCATGATATTGTTTTAGCTAAAAAGTTCCTTGTTGTTAGAGTTGAGTATTACAGTATTCTTATTTGCAAAGTAACAGTGCAAGAAATTTCCAGAGTAACCAAAAATTGAAGATTAGATAAAGTTTTCAGCCCTTTCTTACTATTAGTTTTGTGCTCTTAAGGTAAAGAGTCGTCAGTACGGGCCACAAATTATGATTTTTTTCAAACTTTGTGTGTGGATACGTGAGCCTGTGACACACCCCGGGCGCTCGGTTGCCAGATGCGTAATGCGCTCTTTTCCGCGATTTAAAGGTCTGGGGTATTTAAATGCCCTCGCGCTGCCACACCCCTTTTTGCTTCATGCTTTGTTTTTCTTGTATTTTCAGCATTTTTTCGGCTGTTTTTGCAAATTAATATGGTATGATACTGCTGTACGATAGTTTAGGCTGCGTTCAGCAGGCAGGCAGCAGCAGCAAGGATGGGAGAACAGTACGATTGATAAAGTTGCCGGGAGGACACATGCGTTGTTTTCAACCTGATATGTAGATGATAGGGGACCAGGAGCCTTGACATCTGAAAGTATACTTTTCAGAGAACACTCCCACCTAACCTAACCTACCCTTGTCATAAAGATGACCTAAAATTACCTGAACAAGGCTTGACCCTCTACCACAGGACTCCTATTAAAGGCCAAGGGATTGTCTAATTAGATATTCGCATTTGGTAATCGCTGGTAAGACCTTTATGGTGTAATGAAAATGAATGACAAAAACTACTATTTTCTCAAAATCATATTTTCATGCATGAAAGTAAGTATAACTTTGTATGTAATTACGCAATTTTAATCATTCTTGTTGCAAAATGATCGTCCAGTTCATATCTATTAACTGTAGCTAAGTCATGCATTATTTCCACCAAATACATTTTTTACTGAAAAATTAATGGCAATTTTCTGACAAAAAAAAGGCACTTTTTTGCAAGGTAATTGAAACATTGTCGTTTCAGATAGATTTACATAAATGCTATAGTTAGTACTCCTATTTGTTGACAAACTCTGGTCAGAAGGAAACTGCAGTACTATTCACTATAAGGAAGCCATTACATAATTTTCAAATTCTATCATCTCGCTTTTTTTTTTTTCTCTAGCGCAAAAAATTATGCAGCTTTGTAAAATCAAATGTCTAGTACTCAAGCATCACATATCCATGCACATTGTGTAAAAAATTTATTGACCTAGCTAAAAAACTAAAGCGAAGAGGACCGGACAATGAATTTCGTGACCGTATGGACGACTCTTTCCCTTTAGCAATGAACATAGAAGTTCACTGTTGACAGTTGAATATGAAATTGTCTTTTTACTTTATATAGGTTATCAATTAAAAAATACTGGTAACCATTCTTTATTTGAAGTTACTGGTAATAGAGCTTCTATGATGTGATGAAGCTTGAAAATTTAAATTTCTTAAGTTACCTTCATCTTGATGCCTTCCCTTACATGATATTAGCAAAGCTGAGTCCTACACATAGTTATTAAAGTGGAAAATGTTTCCTAATTGGCCTTAACCTAAGATGAAGTTCAAATTGTAATTACTCAGGAACTGACAGATATTCTCAGCTTCCATAGAAAGCTTTTTCATAGATATGATAAGGAGAGTAATTGCATTACCAGATCATGTAGTCTAATATAGTCATATTTTACATAATCATAAATTATTTATAGCAAATGAAACTAGTGACAGTTTGAGTTAATGATGTGCTGGTTCCTGTGAATCGGTTTTGTTGATTTGATCAGCAGTAAAATTTCAGCATGACAATTTTTTCTGTTTAAAGTTAAACAATCACACATGGAGTAGAAATAGTCCGTTTCCACAATTTCCAAGTGAACAGTGATGGATCATTAACTTTCACTAGTTTTAACTTCAGATAACAGCTTGACCTGGGTACTGTTTACCTTTGGTATGCAGGGTATGATTACCTGAGTATGAATTAAGACAGGGCCTTGATGACTTGGTTTGGTGATTGTAGAATGGTAGGATGTGGGTGCATATCAGTCATATTTTGTCACATTAACAGCTAAGAACTTAATTGTTAGGGTAAGAATATGTAATAGTGTACAGGTTACACTGATGCATAATGGATGTCTTATTTAATACGTTTTCTGTATTTGTGTACATTAGCAGGCAATTGATTTTCTTACATGGTGTAAAATTTGCATTTTGGTATGAATTGGAAATTTCCCATAGTACTGATTCAAGTTCAGCACTTGAAGAACCCAAATGTCATGACTGTCTTGTTTCAGAAGTAAATGGTTTCACACCTGGCAGACTTGAAAATTTCTCATCTGAAAAGAGCTGGAATGTAGTAAACCCACATCATAGAATGACACAGTTGGTAGCTAATAAGT